CCCCCACTCCACCCTAGCCCCACACCGTATCCCCCCCACTCCACAGTAGCCCACCACTCCACAGACTAGCCCCCCACTCCACACTAAAGAACTCCACTGGACACTAAAGTCCCCCACTCCACACTATAGCCCCCTACTCCATACTAGCCCCCCACTCCACACCCAAGCCCCCCACTCAAAACTCTAACACTCCACATTCCAGCCCCAGACTCCACACTAGCCCTCCCCCCCACTCCAAACTCTAGCCCCCCATTCCACACTAGCCTCACACTCCACACCCAAGCCCCCCACTCTACACTCGAGCCCCCCACTCCACCCTAACCCGCCATTCCACCCTACCTCCACACTCCACACCCTAGCCCCCCACTCCACCCTAACCCCCCACTCCACCCTAGCCCCCCACTCCACACTATATCCCCCCACTCCACGCAAGCCCCCCACTCCACCCTAGCCCCCCACTCCACCCTAGCCCCCCACTCCACACTATAGCCCCCCACTCCACCTAAGCCCCCCACTCCACCCTAGCCCCCGACTCCAACCTAGCCCCCCACTCCAGATTATAGCACGCCACTCCACCATAGTCTCCCACTCCAGACTATAGCCCCCCAATCCAACCTAACCCCCCACTCCACCCTACCTCCACACTCCACACCCTAGCCCCCACTCCACCCTAGCCCCCCACTCCACGCAAGCCCCCCACTCCACCCTAGCCTCCCATTCCCCACTAACCCCCCACTCCACACTATATCCCCAAACTCCAACCAAGCACCCCACTCCACACTATAGCCCCCCACTCCACGCAAGCCCCTCACTCCACACTAACCCCCCACTCTACACTACCGCCCCCCCACTCTACACTACCCCCCCCCCCCACTCCAGACTACCCCCCCCACTACCCCCCCACTCCACACTACCCCACTCCACACTACCCCCTACCCCCCACTCCACACTACCCCACTCCACACCCCCCCCCCCTCCTGCCCACCAGGTGGTGAATGGCAGGCAAAGGCGAGAGCGCGCCAGAGCGTGGAGAGAGCTGAGAGACACGAGGAATTGAGCTGCGAGACACGAGGATTGTGGTGCGAGACACGAGGATTGTGGTGCGAGACGCGAGGAATTGTGGTGCGAGACGCGAGGATTGTGGTGCGAGACGCGAGGATTGTGGTGCGAGACGCGAGGATTGTGGTGCGAGACACGAGGATTGAGCTGCGAGACACAGGATTGTGCTGCGAGACGCGAGGACTGTGGTGCGAGACACGAGGATTGAGCTGCGAGACGCGAGTAGGAGGAGGAGACAGGCGGATGAGAGGACATCGCATTGCAGCTCAGAGGTGTCCCATTGATCTCCATCCAGCAGTTGATAGAACGTGGCTGGTAATGAGTTTGTTGATGTTGGTGATGATGGTGTCTCTCCGTGTCTCTCTGTCGGAGCATCGGTGTCCATTCGTGTCTCTGTCTCTCTGATGCCTCGTCGGTATCGCCTCCGTGTCTCCCAGTGTGTCTGTGTCTCCCAGTGTGTCTGTGTCTCCCAGTGTATCTGTGTCTCCCAGTGTATCTGTGTCTCCCAGTGTGTCTGTGTCTCCCAGTGTGTCTGTGTCCCCAGTGTATCCGTGTCTCCCAGTGTGTCTGTGTCTCCCAGTGTGTCTGTGTCTCCCAGTGTGTCTGTGTCTCCCAGTGTGTCTGTGTCTCCCAGTGTGTCTGTGTCTCCCAGTGTATCTGTGTCTCCCAGTGTGTCTGTGTCTCCCAGTGTGTCTGTGTCTCCCAGTGTGTCTGTGTCTCCCAGTGTGTCTGTGTCTCCCAGTGTCCCTGTGTCTCCCAGTGTGTCTGTGTCTCCCAGTGTGTCTGTGTCCCCCCTGTATCTGTGTCTCCCAGTGTGTCTGTGTCTCCCAGTGTGTCTGTGTCTCCCAGTGTGTCTGTGTCTCCCAGTGTGTCTGTGTCTCCCAGTGTGTCTGTGTCTCCCAGTGTGTCTGTGTCCCCCGTGTATCTGTGTCTCCCAGTGTATCTGTGTCTCCCAGTGTGTCTGTGTCCCCCGTGTATCTGTGTCTCCCAGTGTGTCTGTGTCCCCCGTGTATCTGTGTCTCCCAGTGTGTCTGTGTCTCCCAGTGTATCTGTGTCTCCCAGTGTGTCTGTGTCTCCCGTGTATCTGTGTCTCCCAGTGTGTCTGTGTCTCCCAGTGTCTCTGTGTCTCCCGGTGTGTCTGTGTCTCCCGGTGTGTCTGTGTCTCCCCGTGTGTCTGTGTCTCCCAGTGTGTCTGTGTCTCCCAGTGTGTCTGTGTCTCCCAGTGTGTCTGTGTCTCCCAGTGTGTCTGTGTCTCCCAGTGTGTCTGTGTCTCCCAGTGTGTCCGTGTCTCCCGGTGTGTCCGTGTCTCCCAGTGTGTCTGTGTCTCCCGGTGTGTCTGTGTCCCCCAGTGTATCTGTGTCCCCCAGTGTATCTGTGTCCCCCAGTGTGTCTGTGTCCCCAGTGTGGCTGTGTCTCCCAGTGTGTCTGTGTCTCCCAGTGTGTCTGTGTCTCCCAGTGTGTCTGTGTCTCCCGGTGTGTCTGTGTCCCCCAGTGTATCTGTGTCCCCCAGTGTATCTGTGTCCCCCAGTGTGTCTGTGTCCCCAGTGTGTCTGTGTCTCCCAGTGTGTCTGTGTCTCCCGGTGTGTCTGTGTCTCCCAGTGTGTCTGTGTCTCCCAGTGTATCCGTGTCTCCCAGTGTGTCTGTGTCTCCCAGTGTGTCTGTGTCCCCCGTGTGTCTGTGTCTCCCAGTGTATCTGTATCTCCCAGTGTATCTGTGTCTCCCAGTGTCTCTGTGTCTCCCAGTGTGTCTGTGTCTCCCAGTGTGTCTGTGTTTCCCAGTGTGTCTGTGTCTCCCGGTGTGTCTGTGTCTCCCAGTGTGTCTGTGTCTCCCAGTGTGTCTGTGTCTCCCGGTGTGTCTGTGTCCCCCAGTGTATCTGTGTCCCCCAGTGTATCTGTGTCCCCCAGTGTGTCTGTGTCCCCAGTGTGTCTGTGTCTCCCAGTGTGTCTGTGTCTCCCGGTGTGTCTGTGTCTCCCAGTGTGTCTGTGTCTCCCAGTGTATCCGTGTCTCCCAGTGTGTCTGTGTCTCCCAGTGTGTCTGTGTCCCCCGTGTGTCTGTGTCTCCCAGTGTATCTGTATCTCCCAGTGTATCTGTGTCTCCCAGTGTCTCTGTGTCTCCCAGTGTGTCTGTGTCTCCCAGTGTGTCTGTGTTTCCCAGTGTGTCTGTGTCTCCCGGTGTGTCTGTGTCTCCCAGTGTGTCTGTGTCTCCCAGTGTGTCCGTGTCTCCCGGTGTGTCCGTGTCTCCCAGTGTGTCTGTGTCTCCCGGTGTGTCTGTGTCCCCCAGTGTATCTGTGTCCCCCAGTGTATCTGTGTCCCCCAGTGTGTCTGTGTCCCCAGTGTGTCTGTGTCTCCCAGTGTGTCTGTGTCTCCCGGTGTGTCTGTGTCTCCCAGTGTGTCTGTGTCTCCCAGTGTATCCGTGTCTCCCAGTGTGTCTGTGTCTCCCAGTGTGTCTGTGTCCCCCGTGTGTCTGTGTCTCCCAGTGTATCTGTATCTCCCAGTGTATCTGTGTCTCCCAGTGTCTCTGTGTCTCCCAGTGTGTCTGTGTCTCCCAGTGTGTCTGTGTCTCCCAGTGTATCTGTGTCTCCCGGTGTGTCTGTGTCTCCCAGTGTGTCCGTGTCTCCCAGTGTGTCTGTGTCTCCCAGTGTGTCTGTGTCTCCCAGTGTGTCTGTGTCCCCCGTGTATCTGTGTCTCCCAGTGTATCTGTGTCTCCCAGTGTGTCTGTGTCTCCCAGTGTGTCTGTGTCCCCCGTGTATCTGTGTCTCCCAGTGTGTCTGTGTCTCCCAGTGTGTCTGTGTCTCCCAGTGTGTCTGTGTCCCCCGTGTATCTGCGTCTCCCAGTGTATCTGTGTCTCCCAGTGTGTCTGTGTCTCCCAGTGTGTCTGTGTCCCCCGTGTATCTGTGTCTCCCAGTGTGTCTGTGTCTCCCAGTGTGTCTGTGTCTCCCAGTGTGTCTGTGTCCCCCGTGTATCTGTGTCTCCCAGTGTGTCTGTGTCTCCCAGTGTGTCTGTGTCTCCCAGTGTGTCTGTGTCTCCCAGTGTGTCTGTGTCCCCCGTGTATCTGTGTCTCCCAGTGTATCTGTGTCTCCCAGTGTGTCTGTGTCTCCCAGTGTGTCTGTGTCTCCCAGTGTGTCTGTGTCCCCCAGTGTGTCCGTGTCCCCCGTGTGTCCGTGTCTCCCGGTGTTTCCGTGTCTCCCAGTGTGTCTGTGTCCCCCAGTGTATCTGTGTCCCCCAGTGTATCTGTGTCCCCCAGTGTATCTGTGTCTCCCAGTGTATCTGTGTCTCCCAGTGTGTCTGTGTCTCCCAGTGTGTCTGTGTCTCCCAGTGTGTCTGTGTCTCCCAGTGTATCTGTGTCTCCCAGTGTGTCTGTGTCCCCCGTGTATCTGTGTCTCCCAGTGTATCTGTGTCTCCCAGTGTATCTGTGTCTCCCAGTGTGTCTGTTTCCCCCGTGTATCTGTGTCTCCCAGTGTATCTGTGTCTCCCGGTGTGTCCTGTTTTTCTTTGTATTCCCCGCGTCTCCACCGTTTCTCTGTCTCCCCGCCTCGGCGTGTCGTCCCTCTCTGTGCCTCCCCGTGTCTCCCAATATCAGTGTCTCCCAATCTCAGTGTCTCCCTGTATCCCCGTATCTCCCTGTATCCCCGTATCTCCCTGTATCCCCGTATCTCCCTCCCCGTGTCTCCCAGTCTCCCCGTGTCTCCCAGTCTCCCCGTGTCTCCCAGTCTCCCAGTCTCCCCGTGTCTCCCAGTCTCCCCGTGTATCCCTATCTCAGTGTCTCCCTGTATCCCCGTGTCTCCCAGTCTCCCCGTGTCTCCCAGTCTCCCCGTGTCTCCCAGTCTCCCCGTGTCTCCCTCCCCGTGTCTCCCTGTATCCCCTTGCCTCCCTCCCCGTGTCTCCCAGTCTCCCCGTGTATCCCTATCTCAGTGTCTCCATCTCCGTGTCTCCCTCCCCGTGTCTCCCTTCTCCCCTGCGCATGCGCGCTGCTCTCTCCGCCATCCCCACTCGTAACGCGCTGCTGCTGCTGCTTCTGATGAGGATGTGGTCGATGATGATGATGATGTGGTGGTGATGATGGTGGTGATGACGATGTGGTGGTGATGATGCGAGTAATGAAAGCGGCGATGCATCAATGCGACGATATGATGATGGTGTGAATGATGATGTTATGCGTGGTGGTGGTGATGATGATGATGGTGACTGTGTAGACGATGTGGATGATGTGGTGATGTCGTGGTGATGGGATGATGGGAGCAGTGATGGTGATTGACGTTGTTTCCGAGGTCGGCACGGGGAGAAATCAATCGCCCATCGGGAGCCGCACCCTCATCCCCCGCGAGGTGAGGGGGCATTCACCCTGACACGGGGCATTCACCCTTACACGGGGCATTCACCCTGACACGGGGCATTCACCCTGACACGGGGCATTCACCCTGACACGGGGCATTCACGGGGCACGCACAGAGACACGGCGATTTCACACGGACGCGGGGCATTCGCAGTGACGCGGGGCATGCGCAGAGACACGAGGCATTCACATGGGCATTCGCCCAGAGACGGGGCATTCACAGGGGCATGGAGCATTCACGGGGTATTCACGGGGCAATGGGATATTCACAGAGACACGGGACATTCACCCAGAGACGGGGAATTCACAGGGGCATGGAGCAATCACAGGGGCATGGAGCAATCACAGGGGCATGGAGCAATTACAGGGGCATGGAGCAATCACAGGGGCATGGAGCAATCACAGGGGCATGGAGCAATCACAGGGGCATGGAGCAATCACAGGGGCATGGGGCAATCACAGGGGCATGGGGCAATCACAGGGGCATGGGGCAATCACAGGGGCATGGGGCAATCACAGGGGCATGGAGCAATCACAGGGGCATGGAGCAATCACAGGGGTATTCACGGTGTCACGGGGCATTCACGGAGATACGGGGCTTTCACAATGCCCCTTAATGCGCATCTCCGCCCAATGAGTCATATATTGGCATCGTCTCCCTTTGTCTCTGCGTCTTTCTCCGTGTCCCTGTGTCTCAGTGTCTCTTTGTGTCTCCCGTGTCTCTCTGTGTCTCCGTGTCTCTCTGTGTCTCCCGTGTCTCTCTGTGTCTCCCGTGTCTCTTCGTGTCTCTCTGTTTCCGTGTCTCCGTGTCTCACTGTGTCTCTCTGTGTCTCTATGTCTAGTGGTGGTGATGGTGATGAAGTTGTAGAGTCTGTAGACAATGTGGGTGGTTGTGTTGATGTCGTGGTGATGGGATGATGAGAGCGGTAATGTTGAGTGATGTTGAGCTGCCGTGATCGACACGGGGAGGAATGAATCGCCCCTCGGGAGCCGCACCCTCATCCCCCGCGAGGTGAGGGGCCATTTACGGGGCATTCACAGAGACACAGAGACACGGGGCGTTCACAGAGACACGGGGCATACACAGAGACACGGGGCATTCACAGAGACACAGAGACACGGAGCGTTCACAGAGACACAGAGACACGGGACGTTCACAGAGACACGGGGCATTCACAGAGACATGGGGCATTCACAGAGACACAGAGACACGGGGCATTCACAGAGACACAGAGACACGGGGCATTCACAGGGACACAGAGACACGGGGCATTCACAGAGACACAGAGACACGGGGCATTCACAGAGACACAGAGACACGGGGCGTTCACAGAGACACGGGGCATTCACAGAGACACGGGGCATTCACAGAGACACAGAGACACGGGGCATTCACAGAGACACAGAGACACGGGGCGTTCACAGAGACACGTGGCATTCACAGAGACACGGGGCATTCACAGAGACACAGAGACACGGGGCATTCACAAAGACACAGAGACATGGGGCGTTCACAGAGACACAGAGACACGGGGCGTTCACAGAGATACAGAGACACGGGGCGTTCACAGAGACACAGAGACACGGGGCGTTCACAGAGACACAGAGACACGGGGCGTTCACAGAGACACAGAGACACGGGGCGTTCACAGAGACACGGGGCATTCACAGAGACACGGGGCATTCACAGAGACACAGAGATACGGGGCGTTCACAGAGACACAGAGACACAGAGACACTGGGCGTTCACAGAGACACAGAGACCCGGGGCGTTCACAGAGACACGGAGCGTTCACAGAGACACGGGGCATTCACAGAGACACGGGGCGTTCACAGAGACACAGAGACACGGGGCATTCACAGAGACACAGAGACACGGAGCGTTCACAGAGACACGGGACATTCACAGAGACACGGGGCATTCACAGAGACACAGAGACACGGGGCATTCACAGAGACACAGAGACACGGGGCATTCACAGAGACACAGAGACACGGGGCATTCACAAAGACACGGGGCATTCACAGAGACACAGAGACACGGGGCATTCACAGAGACACAGAGACACGGGGCATTCACAGAGACACGGGGCATTCACAGAGACACTGAGACACGGGGCATTCACAGAGACATAGAGACACGGGACGTTCACAGAGACACGGGGCGTTCACAGAGACACGGGGCATTCACAGGGACACAGAGACACGGGGCGTTCACAGAGACACAGAGACACGGGGCATTCACAGAGACACGGGGCATTCACAGAGACACGGGGCATTCACAGAGACACGGGGCATTCACAGAGACACGGGGCGTTCACAGAGACACAGAGACACGGGGCGTTCACAGAGACACAGAGACACGGGGCATTCACAGAGACACAGAGACACGGAGCGTTCACAGAGACACGGGACATTCACAGAGACACGGGGCATTCACAGAGACACAGAGACACGGGGCATTCACAGAGACACAGAGACACGGGGTATTCACAAAGACACGGGGCAATCACAGAGACACAGAGACACGGGGCATTCACAGAGACACAGAGACACGGGGCATTCACAGAGACACGGGGCATTCACAGAGACACTGAGACACGGGGCATTCACAGAGACACAGAAACACGGGACGTTCACAGAGACACGGGGCGTTCACAGAGACACGGGGCATTCACAGGGACACAGAGACACGGGGCGTTCACAGAGACACAGAGACACGGGGCATTCACAGAAACACGGGGCATTCACAGAGACACGGGGCGTTCACAGAGACACAGAGACACGGGGCGTTCACAGAGACACAGAGATACGGGGCGTTCACAGAGACACAGAGACACGGGGCGTTCACAGAGACACGGGGCGTTCACAGAGACACAGAGACACGGGGCGTTCACAGAGACACAGAGACACGGGGCGTTCACAGTGCCCCGTGTTCATATCTTGGCGTCGTCTCCGCGTCTGTCTCCATATCACTGTTTCGTTCAGTCTCTCCGGCTCTCCGTGTCTCCGTGTATCTCTTGTCTGTCTGTGTCTGTGTATCTCCGTGTCTCTCTGTGTATCTCCGTGTATCTCCGTGTCTCTCCGTGTCTCTCCATGTCACTCCGTGTCTGTCTGTCTGTGTTCCTCTGTGTCTGTGTATCTCCGTGTCTCTCTGTGTATCTCCGTGTCTCTCCGTGTATCTCCGTGTCTCTCCATGTCTGTCCGTGTCTCTCCGTGTCTGTCTGTCTGTGTTCCTCTGTGTCTGTGTGTCTCCGTGTCTCTCTGTGTATCTCCGTGTCTCTCTGTGTATCTCCGTGTCTGTCTGTGTGTCTCCGTGTCTCTGTGTATCTCCGTGTCTCTCTGTGTCTGTCTCTGTATCTCCGTGTCTG